GGCTGCATGTCATGCCATAGTCCTGCAGTCTCCAGAAGTGACCCCACATGCTACCAAAACAGATCACAGACCTGGATTCAGGCACTCTTCATTCTCCCACTGCACGAGCTGTCATGGAGCAACGTGCTCCTCAAACGTAGTCATTTTGTGAGGTTACACAGTGTTTGTGTACTTATGTAGGAATGGAATGTTGTTTCTGCATTAGAACTAAAACGTGAGTATTTTACGTCATTGTCTCTGCTCCAGTCTTGTGTTGTTTGTTTACTACTACTAATTACTACTTAGTACTACTAAGTACTAACAGCTCTTTTTGGGAGTGTTTTTATTTCATCAGGAGTCTCTGAGGGTCTCCTTCATTTGCCTGTTTGATGAATTTTCCACATTGGTGCTTGCTCAGTGGGTAGATGGAGTAATGAATGTATGGGTACAAGGACTGCTGCTGTTATCTGTCCAGCCATCTGGAATACCTCTGAGCCTTGAGTTCCAGACAACATAGACATCGCGCTCCTAAACATTACGATAATGCCTTTAGAAATCCAAAACCCTTGACAATGATATCAGTAGGCTCATTATGTTGCAAGACTACTGATTTTTGATGCTGGTCAGCCAGGACCTCAGTGATGATAGAAAATTTGAGGAGAATGTAAGCCATTAGCAATAGATAAACTTTTAGCTAGCAACAGTTTCTATTTAGCCAGTATGCCCATGTACAGTTAAGCATCGGGAAGGTCTGTGAACCTGAAATACTCAGGCAATGAGGAATCAGGGGAAAAGGTGAGCATCAAGGTAATAGGGCATGTTCTTTGCTTTGTAATAGGGTTTTGTTTGCTTTTCATTAAGTATCATTTCTTACCATTACGCAGCGTTTGTCTTGTCTTGTTTTTCATGTTGCCAATCAACATTTAGTTGGAGCTTGGGTGACCCGAATGCATACAACTAAGTGTTGACCAAGTGTGATGTGAAATGAAGAGGTAGGCTCCAAAACAGGCTTCTAGTGAGTGCTGTGTACGACATGGAGTATCGAGAACTACCTCTGTTTCTCCCTGCCCCATGTTGTTCAGTACCAGACGTGAAGGTTTCTTCTTTCCTTCTAGGGTTGGAGACTCCACTATCAGATGGCATTGGCCTTTCAAGCCTCCCCGGGTTGTAGCGCTGGTTGTGCCCTGATCCTTGGAAAGGGGAACTGATTCCTTCATCATTACCTGATGGTGACGTCTACTTATCTTGTGTCCAGTGAGCGGTGGTGGAAAAACTGCGGCTCTCCCGAGTGGTGCAAGGACTCTACTGAGGCTCATTGTGTTTATAGTAGAAAACTACAGCCATAGATGGATGCCAATATCCACTCCTTACTCTGTCTGGCAAGATTGTTGATCTCTGAAGTTGCTCCCACACTTGTAGAAGTTCTTTGGGCTCAGCATCAGTTGTCTCTTGCACTCACATGGCTTTCACCAGGTATTCTTTCTTTTCCCCCATCTTTAGGGCTCGCAAGTACTGATGTGATGTCTCTGCCTTCTGTCACTCCCACCAAACATGGGTTTGTTCTTTTTAGGTTCAATATCATTTCTTGACGTTATGCAATGTTTCTCATTTTTCTTGTGTTTCATGTTGCCAATCTACACCTAGTTGGAGCTACAGTGAGCTCAAATGCTGACTGCTCTGCTTTGACCAAGTGAGATGCAAAAAGAAGAGGTAGGTTGCAAAACAGGCTTCTAGTGCGTGCCATGTAAGACTTGGGGTATCCAGAGTTAACTTCTTGTCTTTCTCCTTTTCCAGTTCC